TTCTTAAAATAAATGCTATGTCCTATATGCTTGTAGAGGAGCTCCAATCGCTTCATTCTACCAGGACAAATAAGGAACAGCCTCTACGGCAGATGCGTTGCTATAACGTTTTCCCCTCTCTGATACAGACTCTTACAGAAAATTCCAACAGTCTGAACACCTTCCACACAGGTAAGTGTGGCCTGGAATACTTGATTACCCTTCCCTGAGCCCATCTTCAAGCAGCAAATTACCACAACCTACATGGGACACGTATGTCTTAGACTCAGTTTGCTGGTGTCACTAAACCCTTAGCACTGATCGATTGTTTCAGGTCTTGTGAAACTGGCCCTCATTCCCCTGCGGAGACAAAGGTTTCATTCATGAGTAGCTACTAATTCAGGATAAGAACATGATTTTCCAGAGGTAATCTTAGGAATTCCTTTCTTTCTCATTCTTTTGCCAGCTGTACAAACAGCTATGCTAGAATTTTTGAAAGAAAAAAACCAGAGAATATACCCAAATCAGTCAATCAGAAGTCCAAATCAAAGTACCGCTGCAGCACATACCTTACAGAAGAAACCAGAGTAAATGTATTTAACCACAAGCGTACAGGGAAAATAAACATGAATTCTCTTCAGCTCCTTCAAACCAAGGAATGGAGCAACTCAATCTATTCAGCTTTGACACTTACAGCTTTCCAGTGACACCGCGGAGTCCGAGAGCAGGGGCAGGTAGCTCGCTGTTTTCATGTTGACAACCTTGCTGCTTGGCCACCAGGTTTTCTTTTATCCAGTTGCTTCTGGCTCTTCCTGCACTGCTCAGGGCAAGCTCCATGCTGTTACATTCTCATCACAGCCCAAACCCAAGGTGTGGCCAGCTGCAGGGTGTAGCTTGCCCCTTGACAGCTCCCCAACCAGATGGACAGTAACGAGAGGGAGCAAACATTAAATGTCAGTGTGAAGGAGGGCTTGGCCAGAGATACCTGCTGGAGGGAGCATCTAGTGTCAGCAAATCTCAACACCACCCCACCCAGGACTTCCAAGGCCAGACACGATGTGATACGCCTTCTCCCAACTATCACTTATGGTCACTAGTATCATGCATTCACCATGAAAAGCACAAATATGGCAAAAATTCATCTAAGACCAGTTCCTGGGCTTTCAGTAGACCTGATCCATCCCTAGCAAATCTCCCAGCTATTGTGAATAACACTGGCTTAGCTGAATGCAAAATTTGGTGCACCTTCATGTCACATCAGGGTGCTCTCTGTGTTGTAGCAGGGCCCAGCTCCCGCTGTCCCTCACCCAACGTACACAGTAAGCTTTCATAGACTTTCCACAGAGGAGAAAAAACAAACACAGAGGAAAATTCCCTCCAAGGTCTAGACTGCAAGGACCACGAGACACACTCTGTCACGCATGGAGCATGGTGGTCTGCCTCCTCAGAGTGGACATCAGCAATAACCAATGCTAGAGAGGGTGCCAGCACATCTTCTGTTTGACCAAGGATCAGCCCGTACCAGGAAACCCCACTCCCTTGCTACAGCCACACTTTGTACCAGAAGCAACAATCCAGCCAGCAGTCTCCAGCACTGGTCCAAACACAACATTTTACAGACTCAAACACTTTTTTGTCACCTTGAGGCTGTCCTCCTGTCAGTACAACAGCTGGCCAACAAGGACAACTTTCTTTCCAGGTCTCTGCTCACCCCTGCCTACTTCTCCACCAGACTCCCCATAGGATTTCTTCCCGTGCTTCCCAGTTTGTGTCCAGGACTGCTGACTGCTGGCAGTAAAAGGACAAAGAGTGTGACAGCAGCCAAAGGCCAGCCTCGGGGCACATCTTCCAACTGCAGCAGAGACACCAATGTGTGATGAATCCGAGCAATCCATTACGTAATAAAACTCTGATATCCAAAGGCCAGATTCCCTTCCGAGCATGCAATCTGCTATATTTTCTGTATATGAACTATCCATAAATTGCCAGCTCAGCCCACAGATGAGCAAAATTTAGCTTATACAATAGCAGATGCTAGGGCGCTTTTTTTTTGCCTTTTTTTTTTTTTTAGGGATTTCACAACAATATAATGTACTGTAGAGACAAATTAGTGTCATGCTAAATCTGCTTTCTGATCCCACCCCCCCACTGCACATTCCTCAAATAAGTTGACGCCTATTATTTCTGTAAAAGGGTGATGTTACATACGCCTCTGTGTACACAGTGGGATAATAAATCTGAATTATTTCTAGATGCAGACAGTTGTTTGAAAGCAAGTAAGTTTTCAAGTTAACTTCCACTTACCCTAAAGTTTTTACTAAACTCAAAGCTTGCTTGGCAGTTGCACTTTCCTATACCTGCCCTTATAAAGCTATTTATTGTATCGGAATCCAGGATGTGAATTGCATGCATTTTCCTGTCACTTATATTCCAGCCTTTCAAAAAAAGTCCACAGCAGCACTGGCTTTAATCTGTAACCACTTGATCATCACTGTCCAAAGCCTCCAAGTAAATCTGCCCTGAAGCCCATCATCTTTCAGGGAAAACGTAAAACTGAACTCATCAGAACCGGTCCACATTCTTTAAAAATAGCACTTTTCCCTTATTTTACTCACCTATGCTGAAAAGACACACATTTACACAGCTACTCCTTACAAATTCCGTTTAATAACTTCTAATTCTTCCATCCTTACTCTTTTTTGTTTGCTCTTACTGCTGCATGATGTTAAATCATTTCCTTTCAACCTAGATTGCAAAATAACATTCGCAAGACTGGCTGAATGAGAGCTGAGTAGCTTCCCAGATAAAAGGTGACATAAAAATATAACAGCGCTTTCATCTGAAAAAAAAAATATGTATAATTTTACCAGAAATGAGGGGCTAGTAACCCCGTGTCTTCTCCCTGTGGTCATTTTAGAAGTAGTATGTGTGTTATCCTAGAGAAAATAGAAAAGGTGCTTACCAAGGGGTGCATGTTTCTGTATCTCATAAAAAAATTTAATCACTCATAATGCAAATACAATTTGAGTGTAGTTTTCCAAGCTGCAGTAATTTAAACTGTTTTGTTTACAGCAGAGAGGAAAACAGGGAATTTTTTCCAAGCTATTTGCTAAAAACAACTCTTGGGGCAGATTTTCACACACATTTAGATGCCTAAAGACACCTACTGGCATTTTCCACCATTAGGTGTCGGAGTGCTATTAAAATCCAGGTAACTATTTGCATTGTTGGGCAATTAAATGCCTCTAAACCCCAACCCTCCATCCCACAGCACATGTTAACTTGGAGAAATTCCATCAGCCAAATACTTGCCTATAAAAATGTTCCATAACACTTACGAACAACGCCATAAAAACTACTGAAGTAGTAGTTGCATTTGGCAGTAACCTGCTGAGTAGGAAAGAAAGAGGTACGTACACAACACACTAGCGGTTATGCCCCAACACTGCACATGCTGGCAGCGTGTTTTCCCATCACCGAGAGCACTTCTGCCATGATAAAGTCCTTCAAGAACATCTTACAGAAGTATCAGCCACACCACATTGTTCTGTTCTGTTGGTAATTAATTCCTCATATTCCTGGTCAGGGCAGGAAGAGATGCTAAATTAAAAATTATCAAAGCCTTCATTTGTACCAGCAGATGTTACAAATCACATTTGTCTCCAAAAGCGTGGGAGATCTTTGGGGTTTTTTTTGCAAAGAGCTCTGAATCTGGAATCATCACAAACTGTATTTTAGATTACTTATGCACAAGTTTTATGCAAGTGGAAACCCCCTAACTATTCCTACATGAACAGCAGTACCAGCGCTAACCCATGGAAGCTACATGATGAGCACCGGTCTGCTCATAGGATAATGGTTTGACTTCCATTTTCCCAAGCTCGCCACTGGAAATAGAAGGCACATTATTTTACTTATTTAGGAAAAAGGTTTTCTGTCAGCTCCTGTTACTCAAATGAGAAAACTTTCATTTCTTCAACAGAAATGTCAAGCCTATAACTTGACAGAGAGGCCTGCAAGAAACTGCAAAAACAACCACCAACCAGTTTTTAACAGATGCAGCAGTGAGGTTTGGTCTACTGCTTCAGCCTCTTAAACATGCTTTAGTGCACAAGAATATCAGCAGAGTTTAAAAAATAAGTGGAAGTCATCTGTTCTATTTGTCTTATTCAAACTACATACAAAAAGAGAAACAAAAGTCTAAAAAGTAACATACTTCATTTGTGGAAAGCCTTATAGGATAATTATGTCAACATTAACAAGAACTATAAGTATAAATTTATATCCAGCTGTTTACACAAATTCATGTGCACACAGAACCACGTGCATGCACAGATTCACAGCCCTGTTTAACCAGAAAAACATATTATTTAAATTGTGAGTCCTCCTGTAAGGCCAGCAGCGATCTGATGACCTTTACTTTTGTGTCAAATCGTTACCCATGCTGCAAGTCCAGGATTCAATGTAAGCAATTTTGAGTAAAGTACAGAAAGACAGTCTTTGTAGAGAACCTGGGTAATATATTTTCCTGGAAAATAGCTTTTTACAAGAGAAATATTACAGCTTCATTATATATCATAATGAAAAACACTGCAATTCAGTGCATCAGGCAAGCCGTGCTCATTTTAAATATTAAATATAAATAGGTGCATAGCAAGAGATCTAACCCTGCAAGTCCTCCAAGCGGAGGATCCTTAATTGAACAGCAGTTCAGTTAGATAAAGGAGCTATAAGTCCTGGTCCCAAGGAGCCATAAGTCCAACCCATTCCAGTTGTACTGAACATGTAGCAGACCACCATTGTGCATTTGTCAAATAAGAAAAATCTTTTAAATTGGGAATCTCACATGAAAGATTTCTTTTCCCTTCACAAATATGCTAGGCTGATAAACAGAGGAGTACATCTTGGCACGGGACAAATGACGATGGCAATTGTCAACTCTCAAACATGTTTTTATTTATTCGAGAGATTTCTGATATTTTACATTCCTATTGAGGCTACATTCAAATAAATGTATAGGTTAAATTCTGCCTCAGAATCAAACGCCCACCTCTCTTTCTAAGTCACTTAGCGAAACCCTCACTGGCACAAAACTTCCACTCACCAACATGAATTATAATGCATATCTGAAAAACAGAACTGGGCTGTGAGATTGTATCTTAAGAGGACACAGTCAAAAATCATAATACCCAAGGTTTTACTCCTGATAATTTCTGGAAACCAAAGCTCATATGTTATTGCAGGCCAAAATTTTGTTTTCTTTGTACGTACAGGACTGTCGCTGCTGTAACTTTTCATTTAAATAACATTTCTTATCAGGACAAATACGTAGAGCACAAGAATTACACAGACAGTGCACCACAAGAAACTAATTCAAGTTTTGAATCATACAATCTCACTGTACAAAGGCAAGATGTCAAAGACTTCTGGATAAACGTATATTACAATTAAACATCCTGTTGTGCCTCAATTCTGTAGCATCTCTGAAAACATCATCCTCTTACAGAGAACTGGTTTTATGCTATTTAGGGACAGCAGAGAATTATTCAATGAAAGTTTTAGATTCAAGGTAGACAATCAGCTTCTGATGCTGGTTTACATAGAGATAGTTTTGGAGATATAAATAAAAGACTCAATTTTCAAAAGTAAGTGTTTCTTTTGAGTACCTTGATTTTATGATATTCTGTGTGAGAAACCTGAGAACTGATTTTCAAAGTGATACATATATTCAACTCCAGGAAAATTGCTAAGAATTACAGGTACTCAGCAACTATGAAATCAAAGCCTATGGTTTGACACAGGTTTTTAAGAACAGAAGCACCCAAAATGTCTCTTCGCATTATTTTGATTTATAGACATAATTAAATTAAATAACTTGTTTGTGTGTGCTCTTGTCTGTATGCATACACATATGCACCCCTGACACTGCAGCTTTTAAATCTGAGCAACTTTAGCCAAAGCTACAAACTCTTGGTGAGGTACAAAACTGAATTATTTATAGGTAAAGTTAAGCATGTCCATAAATAAGCATACAAATTGAACAAAATTGTGCCTGCAAAAAATCAGGCACTGAATTTCCTTGCTTTTGTAAGAGTCCATTAATATATTAATAGAGGTTTAACGTATTTTATACACTCAGATATATACATATATTTTATCAGTAATGTGTGCTTACATACACACATACGCACACATGCAAACCTATGTGTACACTTACCACGCACGCACTCACATTCCCTTATCTGCACACATTCAAGTTCTTTATTTTCAAAGAAAATGCCACCATTTAATAAACACTGGAATTGGTTCCAGGTTCTCGAAGATTTTAGAATTATAGAAAAAGGTAACTTGCATCTGCCATTGCATATGAAAAAAAAAATCAGGATATTATGACCAAATTAAAATAAAAAGACCACGCACCCCCCTCATGCTACCAGCTTTCCAATTGGGAATCAAGATATTGGAATGAATCTGGTATAAATGCAATAAGCTACTCTCGTTTTTTGTATGAGTGCTTTTTAAAATAAATGTCGTTCTTTTGGAAGCTAAATTAGTACCAATTTATGGTGAGCCAAAAGTTCTCTCCTGGCTGGGTCATTGCTGAGCCCCTTTCTTCTTTTGCTCCAGCTCCTGCAGGCGTTCCTCCCGGCACTGGGCGTGCTGCGTCCCCACTTTGTGGGCTGTCTCAGTGGCTGCAATGTCAATCTGTGCGTATCGTGATGATCCACTCCCTGAAATACCAAATGAAATCATGTAAAAGAGTACACCCTTCCTGTATTCCTGGGTCAAACTGACCCAGTGTTAAGCTATTGAGACACTTCCTTCACATATTTCCTAGGTCATCTTGGTCTGGCCTTAAAGCAAGCTCTTTAGAGGGAGAAAAATAAAATAAAAATAAAATCTCAAAAGCTTTGTTATCTACATATTTCAGCTATCTGGTTTTCTTCAAATAAGCAAATGAATCAACTTATATTTCTGCCCCAGGTCTGAATCTCCACCCCTACTCCTCACAGTAGAGTACAAAATTGAACTCAGCTCTCCCACTTCTGGGAGGCTTCATCATCAGGCTACTCGTAAGTAAATGAATAACGTGGTATTTGAAAAGAGAACACCATTGGTAGGGCACTTGGCAGGGATTCTTCTTTGTCTGGATGAGGCACTCTGAACATTTACCAGATCGACCATCTTCAGCCTTAGACAGAACAACAATTTAGTCCAATAACGGGCAATAAGGGAGATAGAAGCTGCTCGGTCTGTTCAGGAGCAGAAAAGTTCTGTATAGGTGCAGATGTACAAGTTTGGAGGCTGGGAAAACTGGGCATGAAAAAATAAAGTATTTATGGTCATTAGAGGCACCTTCGAAGTTATACAAGTTGAGCATGGAAGGGTAGTTGACATTTAGGAAAGTTTATGTCAGTTTATGGAATCTGGCTCTTCATTCTTAATGTCTTGGTTCACTGTCTTTACAATGAAGACAAAATATCACTTTTATATTTCAACAGGGTGTTGTACAGAGAAATACATTAAACTCTGTGAGAAGCCCAGACTTACATAACTAGAGCCATAAAAACGACCAAAGGGGAAAGCACTAGCATTTCAAAGTTAATAAACTTGCTGAAATTAAAAGCGCACAAATTAAAATCTCAATAGCAGAAAACTATACATGGAAAACTCATTAATACCAAGTGTGAGCAACTAAATGCCAGATCCTGATTAGGGGCTTTCTGTAAGGAGGAATGCATCTCTAAATGACAATATATGCTAGCTATAATGCATCTTTATGTGCTAATTGTGCAAATTAAGCATTAGAAGTAAAATACCCAGATCCAGACAAAAGATTTAAAAAAAAATAATAATCAAATACTTGGGATGGCTTCCTTTCTGTAGGACTTTCACACGTCCTCATGGAGAGCAGATAGAAGAAAACACTGCTTTCTATTCTTAAGCATTTGCTGCATGGCTCCAGAGTTAGTACCCTGAGTAGCAAGCCCTTTACACCTCCACCCACAGCCCTGTTTTTGAAGTCAAGCAAGAAAAATTAAGTAAGTGTAGTCCTAATATATGTGATGAAAACCTTGAGAACACAAAGCAAATTACTGTCTGTCAAACTCCACAGACACAGAAATGTTCACTTTAGAAGTAGTGCATATACAATGCGCCTGTCAGAGGGATGGAATGTCTTATAGAACCTCATTATGTAAAACCCTTTTTGAAAAGAGTTGGCAATTAAAAGAACTGCCCCACAAACGTACCACGGTTCAACTCCTCTGTTGGCAAGAGCCTATGGGTAGATGAGAAATTAAGATTCCCAATACAGACTACATTTCTGCTTCCTTTGCTGTTGAAATGGTATTGTGGACTTCCTTACCTCTTATGCTTGTGCTAGGTTCTTGGAGTTCCAGTTCCATGTAATGAAGTTGTTTTTTGGAAGTAGGGCTGACAGGAATATTAACATAGGTGGCTGTCTCGCTGTGGAGTCGATCTGATGGAGGGACATCAGCTGAATAACCTACTGCCCCTTCTGAAATGAGTAACATATTATTATAGACACTGTTTCCAATGACCAATGGTGCATTTCATAAAAACACAATGTTCCATCAAATGTTCTTAAAGCAAACATTCAACAGCAACACCTCCACTTGCCAAACAGCACATTCCTCAGTCATAGATAGGACATGAGAAGACTGAGGTATGTACAGAAGAGATTCTCAGAGACTGATCAAGTCAGGATCTGTGCAGACGACCACAGACCACAGCCAGGGATCCCACTATGTTGTGACAGAAAGCAAACCCTATGCAGAAGTTTTCAAACAGAAGCAATGTATGTAATACTACCTCACACGGCTTTTGGCTCTAACTCAAGTTAGTAAAGCCCAATATGAAGCAATCTCTTCTGGGAAGATGTGAACTATTATATCATCTGCAAGACAGCAACTACTAGAAGTTTAGAAATTATGTCCCAAAAACAGGGACTGAAGAACTGTTTAAAGCAAGGGGAAGAACTGACAGCTTCCCTGGAAGTGTTCAAGGCCAGGCTGGATGGGATTTTGAGCAACCTGGTCTAGTGGGGGATGTCCCTGCCCACAGCAGGAGGGTTGGAACTCAACGATCTTTATGGTCCCTTCCAACTCTAACCATTCTATGGTTCTATGATTCTATGGTTCCCTGTACCAAGCTGAAAAAGATAGGAACGATGCCAGGTGGTGACAGACCAAGTAATAAGACTTTAATTGCAGGAAAAAAAGCAGAAGATTAGACAGTGGGAAAACCTTTCTAATAGTAAAGATCATAAGAACACTAGAGGAAATCCCACAGAGGCTGAAGAATTTCTACATCTACAAATTTCTAAAAATGAGATAGACTAACACCTACAAGGAAACAGTTCTCTATAAAGCAATTCTGACTTAAAGACAACGTTTTTTTAATCTGCTGGATGATTTCTCAAGACCTCTTCTAGTCCTACTTTCCATTATTCTAATTTTATCAGAAGTGGAATGAAGAAAGAAGGTAGAAGGAGACCCAAATACAAACTTGTATTCCCTCTGTGCTTGAGCAAGGCTTTGAGTCACATTCTCATTGTCCTACTCAGCAGGCCAGAATTGCTTACCTGTGCAGTCCAGTTGAAGTTCTTAACCTTAGACACTTTCAGCTGTTCAGTCAATTTGGGACAGAGGAGTGCAGAGGAAAAATGTATCTCTTTCAGGTTCTCCCTTCCCCCGAAGGCCTCCCATTAAACCCTTCCTTGTCCTCACATAATACTTGTATCAAAGCTTTATTTGTCCAAATCACTGCTTTTCTTTTCTGCAGATTCAGACACTGTTGAGATGTGAAGGGAGACACAGTAGGTGATTAAGGCTTTTTAGAGCTCAGGAGAGAAAGACTACTTATATCCATCCAAGAGCAGCTGTGAATAACTATTAAGGGGAACTTTTACTTCTTCTTGGACTGAACTATGAATAGCAGAGATATCTCATACAGAGTCAGACAACAGTAAGAGTTGTCAGAGGCTATAGTAGGTTCCAGGATAATCTCTCAAGGTTTAAACTATTTAAATGAAAGGGGTCTACTATGCAGTCCAAAATTTTAAGAGCCTGGAAAGTTGGCAGTTTTCTGACAGATTTTCATAAAGAAAACATAGGAACATCCATGATGTAACTGGAAATTTTTCTGACCCTCAGGCTTCAAGTTGTTGTTCCAAAGCCAGGTGTTAGGAACAAATAAAAAGGGAAAAAAATCAAGCAGAATAAATTTCTGTATCTTCACCAAACATCATTCTTAGAAATTCTTCTCAATTATTCTGTCTGAAATATTTCAAAGGAATTTGGCCTGACCGTGCCAAAAGGGATTCAGCAGAACCATAGCATTGAAAACCTGCATTCCAAATAGTTAAAGCTGTAAGAAAATGACAGTCTTAAGGACTGAAATCATCACGAATAGTCATGAAGGAAAAGATAATTTATGAAGTCTTTCTCTACGCTAGTAAAGTGATGTAGCAGGAGTTAAAGTGAAGTCTCCTCAAAGCTAGCTAGCATGAAAACTAGCAAACTTCTCTATAGAGCTAAATAGTTGAAAGGTTTCAGGAAGCTGAATGTCATACCTGATGCAGACAAGAAAAGTGATTTTCCTGAGAATTAAAAAAAAGAAATACACATGGAGAAAAATATATTAATTGGTAGGGCTTTGTGCAAGAAAAGCAAAAGAAACACACAGAACAAAAAAACCCTGGCAACAATCAAATATTCTTCTCAAAAGAAAAAAACAAAAACAAACCCAAAAACAAATCAAGAACAAAGTTGGGCAAGTTGGAATGGAAGGAAAGGAAAAGTCTTCTGTTGTTTAGTCTGTGCTGTCTTAATAGAAACTGTGCTTTCTTTGTAAACATAGAAATACTTGGCTATTCATTTTTCCTTCAAATAAAAAAACCCAAAAAACCACCTCATTAGACACTAAAAACTGGCTTATATTTTTTTGTAGAGAAAGGTTTATTTGAAAAGCACAAAACAGTCAAAAGCCCCTCCTAAGAAAACAAGGCACCCACAGAGAGGCATGGACAAAGACAGCACTTTTTGGCAGTCCTTTCTGGGTGGACAGAAGTAGAAAACGCTTACAAGAGGGGTCAGAGGATCAGTATCTGAGATCTTTATGGAGGGGGGATTTGAGAGAAAAACAGCCCAAAATGTACTTGGAGACATTCTGAAAGAATTGGCTTCATGACTGCTTGAGGACAAAGGAGGAAAGGTAGAAAGAAAAAAAGATAGTTACCAAATAGCAGGAGAAGAATAAGAGAAAATGCAGTGGCACTGAAATGAGGACAAAAAGAAAGGTCCAGTTCTGGGCTCCCCAGTTCAAGAAGGACAGGCAACTGCTGGAGGGGGTACAGCAGAGGGTTACAAAGATGATTAGGGGCTTGGAGCATCTCTCTTATGAGGAGAGGCTGAGACTTGGGTCTTTTTAGTCCAGAGAAGAGAAGACTGAGGGGGGATCTGATCAATGCTTATAAATACTTAAAGGGTGGGTGTCAAGACGATGGGGCCAGTCTTTTTTCAGCGGTGGCCAGTGACAGGACAAGAGGAAATGGGCACAAACTTGAAAGTAAGAAGCTCCACCTAAACATGAGGAGGAACTTCCCTACTTTGAGGATGGCAGAGCACTGGAACAGGCTGCCCAGGGAGGTGGTGGAGTCTCCTTCTCTAAAGACATTCAAAACCTGCCTGGACAAGTTCCTTGCAATGTGTTCTAGGTGGACCTGCTTTGGCAGGGGTGTTGGACTAGAGGATCTCTAGAGGTCCCTTCCAACCCCATGTGATTGATTCTGTGAAAGGATAATATAGTATTACTGGGGAGGGAAGAAGAGAATGATATTTGAAACTCATGTTTCCGCCTTTCTTTCAGCAAGTGTTAGTTATTCATATCTTCTGCTCTATGTAGGCATCATTCTCAGAAATGTGTGATAAATAACACAGAAAGAAAACCAACACCATAAACCCTGAGATAAGTGTGTGTGTGCGTGCATCTGAGCATGCATGTAAAGCCGACATGTTCAAAGGGCAGCACTTCAAAAATAAACATTTAAAAGAGTTCACAACAGAAAAGGAAAAAGAAAAAGAAACAGAAGATGTTAGTAGCCTCTGATGCAACTGGCTGCAAAGACCTGTACTCACCAGGTTCCTCAGGGCTAGTAGGAGTTCCAGGTTCTGCAGGAAGTGTCAGCATCTCATAACCACCTTTTGGACCTAGAATATAGGAACACCATCAACAGCTTTGGATTTAGGAATTTGCACAATGAAAAAAAAGCATATAATTTTCTGATTTTGACTTTTAGCCTTCTAAACTGAATAATCATACTGAAAAAAATCTCAGAAAGTATAAACGGTGCTGACCTGTGTGTGGTGGTGATGCCAGTGTTTTCTAATGAGTGCAACAGCAAGGAAATAAATGTTAGGGCATTTTTACAAGTATTCACACTGAAGGCCACTGAAGCCAACACTGTGTTTTGCTGTACATCAATGTGGGAGCAAAGCTGTCTGGAATGCATGAATCAGGGAGAAGTGCGTGGGTGATCTTGGGAGCATCTGGAAGACTCTTGTTAAAATTCCACCTCCAGCATGATGGCTAACTTCTTGATTTCTGACAAAGCTCCGCAGAGAACGCTTAAACTGGCCCTTCCAAAGATAACTGCTTTCCAAATGGAAATCATCAGCTTTGCAAGAGGCTAGGTTGCACAACATCATCAGTTCTTCCCGAGCACTAAGCTGAAAAAAGATGCCCAGGTTGGTTCTCTCATGATTTCAGACTCCAGCACAGTTCAAACAACACAAACAAAAATGCTATGCCACTAGAACGAACATATTTGGTTTAATTCTGAATTACAAACTCTCATAATTGTATCTGCTGGTGTTGTGTTGTCTCTTTCTCCATTATCATGAAGAAGTATCTTTAAATGTGGTAGGGTTTTTTTTCCCACCACGTCATTGCCAGGATACAGGATTTTTCATGGCCTGAGGTGGGTTTTTTTGGTGGGTGCCCTTTGTTAAAGTGCTGGCAGCATTTTACTGCTGTGAATAAGATTACTGCCTATGCTCTGACACTTATCTCATCTGTCACTGCCTCTTCTAAACTTATCCCATCTGTCAGTGCCTTTCTAACAAAAACCTTGCAAAGCAAAAAAAAAAAAAAACAACAAAGAAATACCTAAGTTTTATAACAGGGAGTCAAGCTATACATTACCTTTAACATTTTCTGAAGTTTTAAATAATTTAAGTTTAAACTAATTTAAGATTACGAATATATTTCATAACCACTATACTCACCAGCTTGGAAACTGTGCCCTCTATGCACTTTCAAAGACCCAGAAGCTGCCATGACAGAAGCACCACCTGTTTTCAAAGAGAGATATTCACATTAAATCTAAATACCTGTTGCTATAATTAGATATCTGCTGTGCATTAGCATTCTCAGTACATGTTTCTGAAACATCAAGAAAAATTTCAATAAGAATTATAACTCATTGTTCTTCTTTTAAGCCAAATTCCTTTTGCTAAATTTTTTATCCTAAGATTGTGGCATTATAATGTTATTTTGTTCTTTTCTTTCTTCAGAAAGAAGGGATGCCTTCTATAAAACTGCAGGATACTGACCTCCCTGTTTGTGGCGAGTACTACTTTACTCACAGAGGTAGTTGTCTTGAACTGAGAAGTAAAATGGCAATGAAAACCAAGTGGGGACATACCTTCGCAATCCATAGCATAGCTTTGGCAATCACGAAGTTTAAAATATTCATTAAAATCTCATCAGACTGAATCTAAAGCCTAATGAGCTTAATGGAAAGGACCGTATCACACTTCAGTAGTCCACTGTCCAGTTTTGGACACAAACGCAGAAGCCAGGGTAGGATGAAGGGTAGGCAGAGGACCTAGCTCCCATGAAGTGTGAATGCAGGTCATAGCTGGCCCTTGTGAAATACCATTCCAAGTGTTACAGCCAGGAAAGCTTTACACCAAGGGTATGTCAGATGGCACAGGCAGTGCCATCTCCTTTCCCCAGCGCTATTCAGATCAGCAGGAATCTCTCCCAGGTATAGTATTAGATACAGAAGTTTGAGGAAATAAGAGCTAGTTATTCAGAAACCTATAGTGGTACACACGTATCAGTGCTATGCTTCTATCAGGACCAGGGAGGAAATAAGAGCTAGTTATTCAGAAACCTATAGTGGTACACACGTATCAGTGCTATGCTTCTATCAGGACCAGGGAGGAAATAAGAGCTAGTTATTCAGAAACCTATAGTGGTACACACGTATCAGTGCTATGCTTCTAAGCAGGACCAGGGAAGTGATTGTCCCCCCAGCACTAGGCACCAGTGAAGCTGAACCTCAAATATTGTGTTCAGTTTTGGGCCCCTCATGACAAGAAAGACATTGAGGTGCTGGAGCGTGTCCAGATAAGGGCGATGAACCTGGTGAGGGGTCTGGAGCACAAGTCTTATGAGGAGTGGCTGAGGGAACTGGGGTTGTTCAGCCTGGAGAAAAGGAGGCTGAGGGGAGACCTTATTGCTTTCTACAACTCCCTGAGAGGTAGGTGTCACTCTCTTCTCCCAAGTAACAGGCAATAGGACAAGAGGAAACGGCCTCAAATTGCACCAGGGGAGGTTTAGATTGGATATTAGGAAAAGTTTCTTCACTGAAAGGGTTGTCAAGCATCAGAACAGGCTGCCCAGGGAAGTTGAGTCACTATCCCTGGAGGTATTTAAAAAAACACGTAGATGTGGCACTTAGGGACATGGTTTAACGGGGCTTGGCAGTGTAGGTTTAAATTGGACTTGATCTTAATGGTCTTGTCCAACCTAAACGATTCTATGATTCTATGTGGTGTGGTTTGTCTACATACACACCTCCCTTCTTTATTCAACCAGCAAACTACCTGCTCGGTTAGCATTATCCCTATCCAGCCATGAATGTCCTGTCTCTATTGTTGTCACCATGGGCACCTTAATCAAGATGAGTGGCATTTTTTTTCCTCACATGAATAATTTCAAGGGAACTTCTTGTGCAAGTAACTGGTACTTAACAGGAATAAGGTAGGAGGCTGTGCTTATGAGTAACCCTGACAGGGCAGCTGTGTCATGTGCTGCTGGGTATTGGGGATCAGCTATAAAATTAACACACTCTCCTAAGCTGATGAATAGTCTCTGAGCAGGTGAAACACTTCTCTGCAATATTTTTTTTTTTAAATAGCATCCAAAAATTACTGTAATTCTTACAAAATATGAAGAAATTCTAAAATATAAAATAGTAGTCTCAAATACCTAAGAAATCTTCGTGATCAAGGAACCTAAAGACAATGTCAATTTCTTATTTTTTCCCCACATAAATGATGCATTCATATATTTTTTTCTAATTCTAATAACTTCCATGCTTATAAAATTATTCCTACACTTTTACAAAATAAATCTGAACAAAACCCAGAGATTACCTAATTTAATGAGGAAAATTGATTAAAAAAATAATAAACGCCTATTTCAGAAGTGCACAAGGGTACATAAAAGTATACATAGGGTAATCCAAGAGTACAGCAATTTTCAAGCTTACCATGCTGAGAAACTGATTTTGTATTTTAACAAAAGAGATCAGATTGTAGAATCTCTACATACTCTGGTGAGGACTTAACCACTAAAAATATTGTTTGAAATTTTGTTTTTAACAAGGCTTCTGGCATAAATAAATGCAAAAACAGGACAGAAAGTATGATGCCCCAGACTATCCGATATACTTATTTTCATTTTTCACATCCCAGAGCATCCTGTCTGTGCATTATTAAGAATATGCTTTATGCAGCTGAAAGCTGAAAGCCTTATGTTACTTTGAAGATTATGGTTTTACGCTAATTGCAGCTTCATCACAAACTAGTGTGTGGTATTTTTCTCCCTCAAAAACTTAGTGTAATGCAGTAGAAATCATTCCACAGGAAACATGGATTTTTAAGCAACATTTTTAGGATGTTGCACACATCAGGAACAGGAAAGGAGATTTAAAACAATAAGATACTCCAATCCATTTATGGTCAAGTTGAAGTTTTCCCATTTGGAGCTGGTTTAAGAGAATTACGTTAATGCTTCAGGATTTGACCTGTTGTATTTTCCTCATTTTCAAATCTGGCAACTAACAAATATTTACATAGTTAAATCTCTCATGGAATTTTTTTTGAAGCTTTGAACTGCATCATATAAACACATGTCAACAGGGATCAGCCTAGATATTTTCTTCCTCCTCCTTTATGTCTACCAAGTAAACTGGTTTGTCTCTTATTTATGAATCCTAGGATAACACTTGCAGGAATGGAAAAAGCAAGTTAGCAAGATAAATTTCCGAACATATAAGCATCCAACAGGAGACAGACACTCCCTTCCATCACTCCCTTTGTCTGCCAAAGGATTGTTAAGAATAATTTTTTCAGTTTGCCCTGCCATCCAGTTCTGTGTGGCTGACTGGCTGCAGTCTCACTCATCAAGAGACTTATTTCTCTTCTACTTTCCGCAACGTGTAAGAGGAAGAAGATATTCAAAATGCAACAAAATGAAAACATGGTGCAGAATATTTTGCATTCCTACCTATGATTACACTCAAAGGTCTGATGTATCTCAATGAAGACAACCACTATTTGAAACATTTTTCTGACTTTATAGTCATTGCTTTATGCAAAAACTCTTCAACAACAAGCACAGTTTACAGCATGTGGGCTCAAGAAAGCGCCATGGAAAAAAAATTAACAAATGAGAGGGAAGCTGGAATACATGCTCTAAACTAAGCTCAGAGAGTTTACATTTTCAGATCCTGTCACCTATCATTACATGGCTAGTGAGTAGACACATGTAAAACTGCACTGAATTTATCGAGTGATCACTTCTTGCTGCACACAGCCTCTACTTTGCCCTCATGGAGTAGGTCATGAACTCTGCAGGCCTGGGCTACTAAATTTGCTGACAAAGGGTCAGGACAGAAGAAAGTACTATGCTCTATGATAAATTCTTGCTTCTTATTGAATTAAAACTACTTTTATTATGAAGCACTTTGATCCACTCAGCCAAACAACATTTCCATCTCCTCCTTTGAAAACAGGTACTTTGCTTAAAAGAGCACCCAAAGCCTAGAGATTGACAGGAGAAACGCAACTACACCAGGAGGATTTTTCATGTAAAAGTAATAAAAGACTTCCTGGTGTTGTATAATTGCCCTATAAAACTTCCTTAAGTTTGTTACTCCTCAATTTTCAAAGTAATATATTTGCTACTGTACAGATGGCTTTATCTGCAATACATAAAAGTTGAAGGGGATGCTTAAAAACGCTTACTTGCTCTACAGATTTCACCATATTTGGAAATGGCTCCTCTCTCTCTAGCAGTCAATTTCAGAGGTAGTAAAATCACTCAAAATTAGAAATGCATTCAAGCACAGTGACTGTTCAAATATTGTTTCACAAAGATGCCTGTTTAGTGAGTCCAAAAGAATCACAGAGAATCTGACTACTTCTAGCTGTTATTCATCTTCCCATGCTGTAGGGCTACTCTAGCCCAGCCTCCCATCCTTAAAAATGCAAAAATGTAAAGCCAGAATCATTACCACTTCCTCTACCAGGAAACTCAGTGTCTGTTTTTCAAAAAATATACTTTCAAAGATGCTTTACATATATTTGCTCAAAAAATCTTCCATATGACACTCAGTATCTACATTGGCTAAGAATGAAGAACACATACTGAGTGTTTTTAATAGGAAAAAAAAAATCACTATGTTTGCATATATGTTTCTTCACCTTCATGTTCTAGAAGGCTGGGATAGGTACCTTCCCCAGATTTCAGTTATCAGAGGAGGCATGGGGAAGCAAATCAGGAACACAGAAAAGGCAGGAATAGAGGGTCACTGTGACATGGACTTACCACCTTCTGTTATCCCCAAAACAGGGAACAGGAACCTGCTGGACCTACTCAGTCCAGAGGATGCAGTAGCAGCATTTGGATCATTCACTAGCATATGGTTTCACCACAGTGACTTTTTTATTTGCCTCCTGTCAGGCACTTAGTAATTCAGAGAGTCACTAAGGAAAAGGCTTAGCTTGTAAATGCAATATGTATTTTAATCAGCTTAGTTAAACCATTTTTTCTGAGCTCCTATTTTTCTTCCCCTATGGAATTATTTTGAGTGCACCTATAAAACAAGCCACAATCAAGAAGAGCATGTCATATTATGGCAGGGCTCTATTCATCATTTTCTCATTATAATAATGCTCTTCCATTACAGTGTTTAGCCCTATGAGGTACGACATATTTATGGTGGCCACTATTCAGCACACAGACCTTTACTGGCTCAATAAAAGTATCATAGCATACTTTGTCTTTCTACATCTGAAGAGCTGACAACATATTTCCTGAAAAAAATTAATGTGAATTCTAAATTATTTTCAGCCTAAGCAACAACAGCCAACATAGTATGGCCCAGATTCTTCTTTCTCACTGCTCTCAATTAATTCCTTGAAACCGTACTCCTAAGCTTGGAATAGAAGTATCAGGCTGCATAGGTTTGCAACAAAATTTTAAAAATGCATGAAAGAAAACCTATTTTTCCATCATAAAAGTTAAGCTGTCAGACAGCTGAGTTCATTTTCAGCACCCATCACCTGTTATATACTTAATTTTATTCTTTCTTTTTATCTCCCTCCCTTAACTCCCTATCTACCTAAGAACAATTTAATAGAGATACAATGTTCATAATCAGCATTCAGCTGACATTTCACATGAATTCCAATCCACAGCATTGTTTTATGTTTATTCCTTAATTCATCCTCTCAGAACATTTCCCATCAAGCATTGTGTAAGTTTGGTGTTACAAGCAAAGTGGCTGTCAGATAGCAAGAGTGTCTGTGCCAACGCTGATGAATTTGCTCCTGTGGAATATGGAAAAAAATGGAACCGCTCAGGCAAAAATAAAAGAAAAGAGAATGTAAAAGTCACAAAACTTACAACATTAAAGTATATTGCTTCCAGGGGAGGATATTTGTTAACTTATTTTCCAATTCAGCTATTGATTTTTGTAATGCCAGAGCCTGCAGCATGGAAGAACAGGGAGATCACACCTCCCACTAAAGATGTTTGAGTGTTGAAATGTCCAGGGCTGGGTCTGGCTGTTGGGAATGCCTAGGCAATCAGCTTCTCTGTAGCTAATGGGAAGGGGCAAATGTTTCTGAAACATGGTGCGTAAAGCCTGCATGAAATATCTTCTCCAGGGATTGCAGAGGGACCCTAAGCACTTCTGCAAACTTGCTCCAGCTCCCATTTTAACTTCTTTAAATAGGACCCTTGGGATTCAGGCTGCTCAGTACTCTTGGAAGAGTTGGCAATCAAGGACAGAAATAGTTGCACTTCTTCCCTCCCTACAAAACAATCTCATGGTTTAAACATCATTGATAAAACAAAAGAGCTGTGAGTTCCACTCAACTGAGAAAATCCAAATATTCTGGAACAGGGCTTGAAGACATTATTAAGTAAGGGCTGGAGGTTCCTATCTAAGTTATTGCAGTGAATTAGAGAGGAGCACAAGATTTAAGTAACAGGCCTAAATCACTGCAAGAAACACCACAACTGTTAGGAAACACATTCTAAATGTAGGAATAGCAAAGGACTTCAGGTGATTTAAGGTGGCTTAAGAATTCTCATTGCAGAACATGCTAAACAAACACCTGTCAGACATACACACAGAAGTACATCCTAACGTCAGGACACAGGTTTGAGCTAGAGAACCCCTTCAGCCCAGTTTTTCCTACAGTACTTTGATTTATAGTACCAGAAAAATAATCAAGATAATGGCGAGCTCTTCAGCTCACCATTCTGTGAAGTCCTTTGGTTCCACCTCTCAACACTGAATACGCATCTCATTCATGATCCCTTAATTCACAACACATAAGCTGCTCCTGAGAAAATGACCTATAAAGTACTCATATCTCTGAAACTGCACCCACTAGATCATGCTACAGAATTTCTTAAGCATTCATAAGAAACTTTGTATAGGTCCAATGAGAAATTCTTGAGCAAATGTACCAAACTTAGATGCCTCCAGAATCCAGCAGCCTCAGAAATCAGGAAAGCGGAATCACATTTTTGAACCTCTATCCTGTCATGGTATTTTAAGGTCCATAATAACCATAAACGCAGTCTAGTATACTTAAGACCCAGCATTCCTACATCATAAAACTCCAAAGAATCTCTTACCTTAATCTGTACTACAAAGCTGTGATAACAACAGGAACAGTTTCCTACTACAAATGCAAACAACCTAATTCAGTCTCTCTTTCTAATCTTTATATCGTAACAAAGGCAACCAAATTATTTGAACTAGAATTAAATGATTCACCCTAACTTGTTTTTTTTCTAGGAATACAATTCAGAATTGTTGCCACATTTCTGAACACTTTTCAGCTTGCCTTCACATTTAGACACATTTCTCTAAAGTTGCTGAATCTATTGCTTAATATATATAACTAGCAGTAGAAAGGGAATATTACCCGCATTCGCTACCAATAAACTGAAAAGTATTTAAAAGATTGATCATGACTCTCTCACTCCAGTTCTTGCCACAGAACTGAGGCACTCAAGAGCAAAAATACTGTACAGAATATGTGGGCACCTGTAGCACTGGAAGAAGTGGGTTTGCACTTGTACGGTGTGTTCAAATGAAAATGCAATACAATCCTTTCTCCGATAAAAAAGAAATGTGTTTATGACTAAGTGGGCTGCTACACTAGCAAACATTGCAACCGTGTATTGGGTCATTGTACAATCGTTCATGATAGTACAGATATCTTACCATGTCCATGTGCAAGATGGGTTTTGAAAGTTAATTAGTGTGCACTTATGTCATCCTCAACAATGAATTAAAAAATCTTAATAGAGAAACATAGAAAAGTTCCAGTGCTGTTCCTTTAGTCTGATGGAATTGTTTGAATAACTGCTCTGCACCCAGGGACCTTCAGTTAGTGGCTTGGATTAAAGATGGTGGAAACAAAACATTCAAAGGCTACAGGATTATCTTAAAAGATTTGCAGCACCAAGTTCAGTTATACTTTAAATGTTCACATGGATAAAAGACAATACTTTAAAATTAAATAGCTGAGGGTAATAAAAAAGTGATGAGACACAGAAAAGATGGGTTTCTTTTGTATTCTGAAAAATAGTGTAGTACTGGAGAATAAAGTTCTAAAGGTATATAGTGAGAGCATCAAAGAGATGAAACCCCACAAAGATAGTTAAAAAATTATCACTGTCTTTAGATGCTGCACTTAACTAAATCATTTATAGTTATTCCAACAAGTATTCAGTTCTTTCCTTAAATAATATTTACCCAATGTACCAGACATGAAAATCCACCCACTCAAATTTGTTCAGTCTTGTATCTTCCCTTTCTGTTGATCTAAAAATCTGTCCTGTATTTCTACATTTCCAATTTTCTTAATGGTAGGCTTTATCAAAACAGCTAACTCCTTCATCTGCATGAATAGTCAGAGATTAAGTTTTTGTCAGATTTTTTTTGCATCCATGGTTAATTTGCCACTGGAATTAATGCAGAAATAATATTGTGCCCCTTCACACACACAGCTATAGACCCAAGTTCCCCTGTATTTACACAGTGTTTAATCATAAGTGCTCTGGTTTCCTTGGGTTGATTAGAGGACTAGAAACCTGAGTACCAGAAGGAAAGATAAAATTAGAGTTAACGATTCAATTTGTACTTCTACTTACACATCTATAAATCAAGACTAGTTCCACTGACTCGAGTGGAATAACTAGGAACAAGATCTGCTAAATGCTTCTGGATTTTCTCCTGCTAAGACAGACAAAGGAATAGAGTTACTTATGACCTTCTCCAGAGACACCTCCGGATCCTAGGTATCTTACTGGATTTGATCACTCAAGTATCAACCAGATATACTTTATGTATTTGCTAAGGTTTTTAAAAGTAACAAAGAAACCCAAGCACAAAAAGCTGTTCTATGTCTACTGGAAGCAGGCAACCTGATAATTTAATGAATTTACTGAATTATCAGGTAAATAGATTAACAAATATAAATACGTTTAAGGCATTAAATAACTTCTTTGCACATATCTCTCAAAGGAAAAAGATGGAGACAGTACAAAAAACCAAAGGCTTACAAAATGTTTTCTAAGTAATGTGATGATACAAAAGGTGCCAGAGCACTTTGGCCACACCAAACAGAGACCTCCAGAGAACCAACACATTCTACTGAGGGGCAGATTTACAATGCAAAGACAGTCAGTGTGTTACCTTTGCCTAAATAAAATTTTTCCAGGCCAGATAACTCAGCTTCCTCCCTTTACTGATTTTGTCTGTTGGTCAGTGGAACCACTGACACGAGTGAAGTGTCTCCATGTTGCCTCTGGTAAGGAAGCATTCTCGTGTTTTTGTGTTTTATAGAAAACTGTGTGTACACAACATATAAATCAAGTTTCCACTCGGTGTTAATATAGCCTAAAAAGAACACTTCCTCGACATTCTTCAACTAGGTAAATAAAGCACTAAACAACTTTATACAGAAACTGACAACTTTGCACCTCTTTAGATTACAAAAGGAAGGGAAAACAAATACTTTAATCTTTGCAACCAAAGATGCTACAAATTACAATGTATTGCATAATATTCAGTCATGAATTGCAGCAGCAAAACCACCCACAAACAGGATACCTCTCAATACAGCCTCTAGTTCTGCTTCCATAAATCTGTTTCTCTCGCCACAATTTGAGACTTAAGCATTATTCTTTAACAAAGCAAATAACTAAAAGGCTCCTACCTGGTATAGCTGGTAAGACTCCAGACTGCAATATTGCTGTTCCCTAAAGAAAACAGAAAATTTTACAATGAAAGATCTGCACAAGAAACAGAAACTTTGCAAAATATAGGAAGAATGACAGAGAAATCACTTCACCATCACAAAAACCTAATATGTTGTTTTAAAATCCAGAACAGATGCAAAGGTGTTCAGACCTAAAGGTATTCAGAACACGCGTAAGTTGCAAAACTTTTGTGTACCTTAGTAAAGACTGACAAGCTTGACTTTGGGTGCTTTGCAACAACAATAGCAGGTACAGTGAAGCTTGGCACTATTGAATCAGTTTTGAATCAAACACCAAAAAGCAAGGAAATTTAATATTCAGAGGCAGATGAGACCAAGTCGGAGTAACATATGTAAATCACGGCTATGCCTATATTTGCTTAAAATAGTAGGTGTTATCAACAGACCAAAGCCTGGTGTGCTTCTGACTCAGGTCCATAAAACTGAAGTATTTTATCCTCGAATTCAGAATGGCTGCAAATCACACCTGTGACATCAGAGTCTTTCTAGAAAAACTTTGTGCTATCTCAGATGCTTCACATGCTCATCCTGGGCAGGTACGATGGCAGTGAGGGCACAGGAAAGCAGCCAGGCATAGAGCACCAGTACCCATTCACACTTAAGAGTGTTCCAACACATGCTGGCAGGCCAGGTTTCTCCCCAGCTATTCTATCTATGCCAATCAAAGACGATCTGGAGGACACTCCGGTGCTTCCATCTCCAGATGGTATCAAGGCCACGCCTGCACTGCAACATCAAGTCAGTCTGGTCTGTGCTACTGACCACCACCCTGCCAAAGAGATCTCTTACATTTCTGTGACCTTGTAGAGAACAAGAATTCATCATCATTATTCCTTTTTTTTTTTTTTCTATAAATAAATGTGTATTCTGGACTTTGAAGTGGAAAACCACTATATACTTTCTTAGAAAGTGGTGGCTTTTCAGACATACTCAGGATTTTACATATACTTTACACATATCTTCCCCCCTACACTGGCTCTATGCTGCCTTCCCAAAATTTCTCAACTGAAAACAAAACAGATTATTTACTTACTATCCATATAGAAGTTCAAATCATACTAATTTCTGCACAAGATTTTGATAAAGCAAACACATTAAGACATAAAGCTCATTAGAAATGACCATAATGAAAAACTGCCAGAGCTATCATCTAGATCCAACTTCAGTTGAAGTAAGTGGAAAGGCTTTTTGTGCTTTTGATGGACCTTGTAATGAACCAGAAAAAGATTAGAAAAGATTACACTGATTCAGCCAATAAAATATACACCCAAAGAGTTTGATTGGAAAAATTGGGGTAGGGGATGATGTAAGGTTTTTTAAAATACAATTTTGAAATCTACAACTCAGAACAGCTTTCAACAGTGGAATAATGCAGGGCATAAGGGAAGTTTCTGCCTGATCCTATTGCAAACACGGAATCTACAGCTTCAGTATTTACTTGAGCTTTTATGCTAGCTGAATATTTTAAAATATGAAACACTGAATTTGAGCAACTGTTTTAGAGTAGAAGAGAGGTGGAGGAAATCAAAAATATGGTCAAGATTTCATTTCTGAAACAGAAAAAATATCCCACAGCATTTCAGAAAAAAAGAGCATTTTGTTAATTTAACCATAGTGGATGTTATTTGTTTCTATAGTTACTGTGTGTCACCACAGAAGTTGCTGCTTTCATTTGGGGAGTATGCAGAAGTATCTGCACCGATCGAGGACAAATGACTTCAGAGCATTATGAGCATTATTCTGTATATTGAGCAATATGTGTATGTGCAATATCCTGTATAACAATATTTTCCCATTACAATAGCACTTCTATCAATTTTTTGTCACTATTATTTATAGCAGACTTGAAAAATACTTTTTTCCTGCTCCCAGTATCATTTTAGGGGTTTACTAATACAGAATATCAAAAAATAATTTCCCTGACTTTGGTTATGTCTGTGGATGTGAAGCAGATTGTGCTGCCTCTGAAAGTCACATCTGCTAGCTTACTTAATGGAAGAGAAAGTGGCAGACTGCAGTGTTGAAGCGCATAGAAGTCAAATCTTGCTAATGAGAAAGGATCTCACAACTTTCTGGCAACTTTTTTTCTTTTAAAAAAAAAAGCTTTTTGCTTTTTTTTTTTTTTTTTAGTTTGTGAGGTGTTGGGGGTGAACTCTATGTTACTTAGTTCACAAAGTCAATCAAAAATTGTTTTGTGAAGGAGAAAAAAAATTCCTTTATCTTCCTCACCTTTGCCTCTAGATTCATTAATCTGCACAGCCTTGCTGTCATTCAAGGCACGGCCTGATGCATGAAACTAGATAGCAAGTTGGAAAAATATTTTTAACTCTCTTTCCATAAATGCAGTACGTATCAGAATATCTTACATTATGGCAAAAACATGAATAGAAATAAAGTGGAGAAAACAGAAACCCTGAAAGGAAAGTTCTTTGGAGAAAGAGTGGCATTTTGGTTGATTATAGATAATCTCCCAGAGAGGAGTCCTCTTTCGTCATTACAGATGTTACAAGCAACAGTAATGCAAAGAAACAAAGAATAAATGGAATATTTTTGTAATTATTGGTTTTCTTCTCAGCTTACAACAAAGTTATTAGCAAAATGGCATATGCTCCTACTTGCTTAACAGCTCTGCTCCCCCTGTAAATTCAAGTTATAACTACTTGATTTACTTGCAAATTAAGTTTTGCTAATTTTCCCTCCTCTCAGTGTTGCACAAGTATAGCACCTCTGCAAGAATGGGGATTAAAAAGTAGGCAATGCTGAACTGTTAAAAACATTTAAGTCACAGAAACTTCGGTTTTGGTGATGTGCTGCTTAATGCAAGCTAAAATCAATTAGCAGGGCTTTTTGACCTCTGAATGTGAGTAAGAATTCAAACTGCCTTTGCAAATGCCTGCGCATCATATATGACACAGAAATAACTGAAAATTAGATCATTTTGTTTACATAGGTACAGTTTGTTCAACAATGGAGTCTTATTTCATACCTGGAATGCCTTGTTACTCTTACAAAATAAATTCTAGAAAGTTTTTCATAAAAATGTACAAATTTGGTAAGATGGAAAAATCATAAAGGCTACACAGGTAATATCAAATAAATATACTTTCAAAGCCATTATTAGATTAGAGTATATATGACAAAGGAAGATGCAAAAAAGCAAACAGAATTTAGATGTGTTAAATCACATCAGATGGGGGACTGATAAAATATCACTGAAATTATAGTGAATAGATAAACAACAAATAACTAAAAGAATCGTGATTAGATTAGAAAAAATATTTAAGAATAAAAAAAATTGTTATCAAGTGATTTTTACAGACTATAAGATTGTTGTCTTTATTTCCATTTTAATATGTCATATTCTATTATTTCTGCATCTCGAGACCTGCTGCAATCCTTTGCAAGAGGGAAATTTCACTAACTTATAGTAGCTACGGCTAAGGCAACTCAGTAGAAAGAATGGCATCGGAGACCTAAAAGCTATCTTTTTTAATTCTACAAAACTCAGACAGAACATGCTTTTGTTGGTAAGAGAAATTTTTGAAATTATTATGGCATAATATCCGAATGCAAATGCATGGTTTTCAAATGAAAAGTATGATACGTATCTCAATATGATTACACCAAAGATGAAAAGGGAGAGTGACCTCACTCAAATAATATGCTTTGGTTATGCCTGCTATGATATTCAGACAATAACTAATAAAGTGAGTGTCTAAATCCTGCATCTCATAATATTACTCATAAATACAAGTCAAATATCTTTCTAAGGTAGTTTCTTTTATCTGTGACCCAAGAGCTGAGAGCTGCAGGGTGTGATGCATGGCTGTTAGTTCAAACAACCTCACCACTACAACACCCACAGTAAACGGATATGTACCACTTGTATATCACACATCATGAACTACATGTCCAGGGCTATTTTAACTCTGGTAGTGATCTGGCTGCTGTCAGATGACATTCATTTTTGATGTTCTGCTTCCAAATATCTTGGGTAGGGTTCAATGAGACGTTAGGAGAACCCACTAGTTTGATATGCTGTATCATTATTCATAGATTAGCTCTGTTGCCCTAAACAGCTGAACAGAACCTAAGCCCTGGCATTTATTTCTGTGTGTGCAAATAACCATCATAGTACACAATCTTTTTTACAATCAAAATGAGATTATTTGCCCCCCTTCCCCCGTGTATATTTGGTATATCTTTGTCTTTCTCTCCCTCCTTTTTTTTTAAGTTTCATTTTATTTCATTCAAAGCTTCACTCACTTTCAATTTCACTAAATATATGATTTACCAGATCAGTTCTCATTTAAAAAATTACCAGACACAAATACTGTCTTACTGACAAAAAGCAATATGTCTGCCTTTCTCTATATACCCAAATCACTTCTCATGGACTACATACCAAATTCTGCTCTGATGCTGCTAATGGGAGTTTTAGTCTTTAGACACAAGATCAGCCCCAAAGTCCAAATCTTCCAGTGTAAACTCCAATGCAAGGAACAAAGATTAATGTAATGTACCCAATTTCATATTGTTGGAAGCCAGATTCGTAGTGACAAGAGGCATCACAACTGCTCTTTAAGCTCCTCTCTGTGCTGTAAAAAAGGAGCCAGGAACTTACAAGTCAGATAGACAGAAAAAAAATGAAGGAAAATATTGCCTTAAGGCTAAACTCTCCCATTACTGGCTCTAAGGGTAGGAACACTTAGATAGCTGTTCCATATAAAACATGTATTTTCAAAGAATCAAAACATTTTTGTTTCATATTTTTCCTCCTAAAAAGGAGGAAACCACACTTCCAAGAAAAAGTAGACCAGCTTCTGTAGATTGTAATGCTGAGCTGGGCTCCATCATCACTGGCAAGAGAAATGAAATGCCATTTGTCTGATAACTGTCGACATTTCAGACACACCTCATCAGTCACAGCCTGTGTCATTCCTTTTGTGTATCTTTAGAAATAAAGCTTTTCTTTCAGCT